GGTACCCATTGGTTTCTTTGTTCTCGTTTTCAGGGTTCCGAGTCGTCTTTCTGGCTGTCTTCTCACACATCCTTCCTGCTCTCACCCCCGTCTCAGCTCTCCTCGCATCTTCCTCCCACCGAACTTCATCATTTGGTCGCCTTTAGCGGAAGGGTCAAACGTAGGTTTTCGGCACCGTGGCGTCGCAGCGTGGTGCCGCCCGCCACCGCGTGCTGCGCGGCGTGAATGCCACAGCGCGGTGCCGCGCTGTGACCTCCGATATCACCTCGTTTGTCACTTTCCCTCCTGACCGCTCCCCTCTAACCTCTTTCATCCATGTCCCTCTCCCTCATTCTTTTTCGTCATAGGCAGGGGCCCTGCTCCTCCTACTACCCCTTCCTCATCCCACTCCTCTTCCTCCTGCCCTCCCGGATGGAACGAAGCTTCCCCCCGCTGTAGCCAAATGGGGGCATGGGAGGAGAATGAGTCGGAGGAGGGAGGCTGGAGGAGGCCGGAATATGAGGAACTTGCTGGATAATACAAACAGGATAATATAGTCAGTGTATGCACAAGGTTCGCGCTTCAATCCCTGACACACGCACACACTTACATTCTCTTCTTGACCATTCGTGCATCTCTACCGGCCCTTCCAGACACGATGCCCAGGCGAGTTCCCTTGATCAGGACAGTGGAGCAAAACGTATTGGCACTTAGATGAAGGGGAGCGTGTGTGTACATATAAATATATATATATATATACATACACACGCAACAGATTACCACAACTGTGCTTGCACTTCGGGTCTCTTTCCGCTGTTCCAAGGAACTGGGCCTAACGGTCGGTCTGGCGGCTGTGCTGTTGCGGTGGCCGCCCCGTCGCCGCCTTGTCGCCGCCCGCCGTTTGGGCTTGACGGTCGGTCTGGCGGCTATGTTGCCGCCGTCGCCGCCTCGTCGCCGCACATCGTCTGGGCCTTACAGGCGGTTTGGCGGCCATGTTGCCGCCGTCGCCGCCCCGTCGCCGCCTCGTCGCTGCCCATCCCGCAGATCGAAGAGGACCACGCGCGGAGAGGCCCCCGAGGATCGCCGGCCTGGCCCCCGAGATGCCCCAAGGCGGCTCCAAGCGGACCCTCAAGAGGGCCTCAGAAGCAAAATCGCCTTCTTCCCGTGGGAAAGCGTACTCCAGACTTCGTAATAAAAGGGAGGGGGTCTCATTTCGGGGGGGGTCTCTTCCAGGCTATCTTGGAGGGCCTGGGGGGGGTCTGGGGACGATGTGTTGGAGGGTTCTCCCACGGGGGGGGTCTGAAATGGCTCGTCTTGGAGGGTCCAGACCCCCTCCCTTTTATTACGAAATCTGGAGTAGGTTTGATGTCTCCCCACATTTCATGGCGCCTCTTCTTACCGTTCTTCTTCTCATTCTTCTTCTCAGTAATATTATTTGTAGTGTTATTTCTGTTGTTCTCTTTGTTTTGATTCGTAAGATTAGTATTTCACAACGTCTCCTGGCCCCCACAATGCCGAGCACATGCTTCGTGCCATGTTTTGCGGACTCCCCTCTTGGACGCCCCCCTCTGGGACGTCCCCGATCGTAGCCTCCGCCCATGGGAAGAACAGCAGGAGGAGCAGGAGGAGCAGCAGAAGGGGAGGGGGAGGGTCGACGACGGGTACCTCTTGGAAGAGCATGTTTCCCCCTTCCCTTGCCGCCGCCTTCGTTCTCGTCAACAACGTGTGCCCGAGCGAGCGGGCAGCCGGAGGAGGGTTGAGACCCCCTCCCTCTGGGAGGGTTGAGACCCCCTCCCTTTTATTACGACATCTGGAGTACATCTCTGTCGCAGTCGTTGTTTTCCTGCGCGCAGCGTCCGTCCGTCCAGGACGGGCCCCGAGAGGCCCGCAGGCGAGCCCCCCAAAACGGCCGAAGAGCTCCCCCAGAGGGCCCTCCTCCTCCTCCTCCTCCTCCTCCCTCCTCCTCCTCCTCCTCCTCCTCCTCCTCCTCCTCCTCCTCCTCCTCCTACCCAAAACGGCCCGAAAGGTTCCCACGACAGCCCAAGAGGCACCCAGGGCCACCCAAGACGGCCCCAGGAGGGGCTCGTAGGGGGGGAGGGGGATGCGAACCCATATCTCGAGGCCTCCGCCCCAAGAGGACCCCGAAGATCGCCAGCAGGCCCCCAAGCCCCCCCCCTCCCCCGAGAGGACCCAAGAGGGCCACAAGAGGCCCCGAAGAGGCCCCGAAGTGCGTCCCAATAGGCTTTACAACTGTTTCCTACAGGCTGCCCAGAGGTTTCCCCAGAGGCGCGAACGGGCATCCACGCAGTCTCACACCAACAATCCATGCTCGGTGGCAGGATGTGCATAATGTCGCCAGAAGGGACACACTTGGACGAGGGGCACGGTTGCCCCTCCTCTTTGTGTTCTTCTTGCGATCCGTTTTCAAGGGTTCCATTTCTCCTTTTGCTCCTGCCCCTCCTTCCCGTTCTGCCCTCGTCTTTGCCGCCGTCATGCTCCTAAACTGTTCTACCCTTTCTCGACCTCCAAGCTGCCCCCCTCGTCCTCTTCGCTATCCTCCTGGAGTCCCCCGTGCTCAGGGAAGGGCTGTCCACAACGTATTTCCGTAGATCGTTGGGCTAAAGGCATATCCGAAACCGTCGCCCAGCCCTCGGCATCTCATTGCGAGCTGCGATTCCAGATAATGTGGGCGCGCGCGACGCGCACGAGCGACGGTTCTAGTGTATCGATTTTACATATATGCATGCATGCATACATCTATACATATATATACAGATGTACATACACCCATACACACATCCGTACCTACCGACCTGCCTATGGACATACCAACATACAGACAAACAAACATACATACATCCAGACCTACATACATACATAACAACATACTCACATACATACATACATACATACATACATACATACATACATACATACATACATACATACAGACAGACAGACAGACAGACAGACAGACAGACAGACAGACAGACAGACAGAGAGAGACGGACGGACAGACAGACAGACAGACAGACAGGCAGACCGGCAGACAGACAAACAGAGACAGAGACAGACAGACAGACAGACAGACAGACAGACAGACAGACAGACAGACAGACAGACAGACATACACAGATTCACATTCAGTCAAAACACACACATATACAGACATGCATATTGACATATGTGTACAACTACACACATTCATACATAATTACACAGATTCATACGTACGTGCATGCATACACCCATACACCCATACACCAATACATACCTACATGCATACATACATACATACGAAACAGCGCGTTCTGAGGTCGCTTGGAGGGGGGGTTGGAACCGAACCACCCCCCTGGATGGAGAGGGCGGGGGGGCTCGAACCGCCCGCACCCCCCCTTCCCGTGACGGAGGGGTGGGGGGGTCGAACCCTCCCCCCTCTCCCTCCCCTACTTCTCCTTTCTCCCTCTCCTCGGACCGGCGGCGCCGGCGTCGGCGGCGGCTGGCGGCGGCGGCGGCCGTGGTGCCGGGGTGTTGGTGGTGGTGGTAGTGGCGGTGGTGGTGGTGGTGGTGAGGTGGTTTGTGGTGGTTGCGGTGGTGGTGGGTTGTGTTGCTGGTAGTAGTGGTGGTGGTTGTGGCGGTGGTGGTGGTGTGGTAGACTGTGTTGATGGTGGTGGTAGTGGTGGTGGGTTGTTGTATTGGTGGTGGTGGTGGTGGTGGTGAGCTGTTGTGGTGGTGGTGGCTGTGGTGGTGGTGGTTCTGTGGTGGTTTGGTGGTGGTGGTGGTGGTGGTGGGTTGAGGTGGTGATGGTGGTGCTCGTGGTGGTGGCGGCGGTGGTGGTGGCGTGGTGGTTTGTGGTGGTGGTGGGCTGTGGTGTTGGTGGTGGTGCTGTTGCTAGTAGTGGTGGTGGTGGTGGTTGTGGGTGGTGGGTGGTGGGTTGAGGTGGTGGTTTGTGGTGGTGGTGTTGGTGGTGGGTTGTGGCGATGGTGGTAGCTGTGGCGGTGGTGGTGATGGTGGTGGTAATGGTGTGTTGATTTGTAGTGGTGGTGGTGGTGGTGGGTTGTGGTGGGTTGTGGTGGTGCTGGTGATGGTGGCGTTTTGGGTGGTGGTGGTGGTGGTGAGGTGGTTCGTGGTGATGGTGGTGGTTGTGGTGATGGTGGGTTGTGGTGGTTGTGGTGGTGGTTGTGGTGGTGGCGGTGGATGTGGTGGCGGTGTGGTGGTCTGTGGTGGCGGTGGTGGTGTTGGTGGTGGTGTGGCCTTCGGCTCTTCCCGCCACTGTGTTTTAGCAAAGGGTCAGGGTTCTAATGGATGCCTCTTGAGGTCTCGTCAGAAGGGTCTCGGGGGCGTCCGAGGAGCATGCGAGGGCTCGATACTGCGATTTGTGTGTGTGTGTTCCCCTCGGACGAGTGTGGCAGCTGAGTCTGCCGCCCCAGCGAGCGCGGCTCCCCTCCTTGTGGCCGGTACTGGTTTCTGCTCAGACTGCCAGGTAGTCGTCGTTGAGTTTCCCAAATTCGTCAGGAGGGGAAAAAACACAGACACAAGTAATCGGCGATTCCCAGAAAATATAGGAAAATATGGGAAGTGGGGGGGAAGACAAAAACCCAGAAAATATGGAAAATATAGGGGATATTTTTATTTGTGTGCATTTATTTGTGTCCTGGGGCCCCTTCAAGGTAGTCGTCGTTGAGTTTCCCAAAGTCGCTCGGGGCCGCGCGCGCCCCGACGGGCCCCGCAGCGGGTCTGCGAGGCAGGCGGGCGCGTTTGCCCAAGGCTTTCTCCGATGGGGTCTCGAAGGTTCGGGCCCGCCAGGGAGACGACCTGGCCTCCCCGATGTCAGGAGCGAAAGAAGGACGTACATGTACATGAATCCACGCTGGTTTTCGAGAGTTCGCATTGCGCGAGTGTTCGTATCGCGCGGCAGGTCTCGCGGGTCAAGTGGCCGTGTTCATGTACATAGCTGGGCGCGTACGTCCTTTGTGGGCTCCCTACGATGGCCGAAGGGTTGCACGGCATACATAGGCACTAATGCCGCGTATGCGGCGGCCAAGGAAGGCGCCCGGATGCTTCCGAGAATGTCCTCCCGGGAGTGCGCTGGGATCTATTCTGTGCTCCGTAGCTCTTGCTGCCACACGGTTGGCGGCGCAGATCATGGAGGGATGGCCCCAGGCCAATCTAGAGGGGGGTTGCCCGCGTCGAGCCCCCGCCCCTGCTGGTGAAGGATCGGGGGCCACCGCGTGAACGGGGTTGGGATGGTAGATTCTGGCAGTGTCCTCCTGGCCTGCGAGGACCCCAGCCCTTGGCCAAGCCATCTCCTGGAATTTGCAATCGCCTGTTGCGCGTTGACCCCGCTAAGCTGCGAGAGCTCAAGCACCGTTTCCTTGTGGTAGACTTCAGTGACAACGGTTTCGCTGGTGTCTGCCAGGTCTGTGCTATGTAGGAAACTAGAGGTCAAGTGAGGAGGCGGGCTAAGAAATGTCTTGGCGGGCCCCCTGCTCGAAGCGAAGTTTGGTCGAGGATGGGCACAGGCTCCCACCCTGATCACATGGGGGGGGGTCGCGGCCGACCTCGAGACAATTTGCCCCCCTGCCATGGGGCCCGTGGCTGTGGATATCAAAGAAGTCCCCAACAGCGCCCAAGATGACCCAAGAATTGGCGGCAGTTGCGCAAGTTGTTGCACCCCCAATGAGCCGCGAGGTTTTGTCTGGTTGCGCGTAAACGACGACGCCAACTGCGAGCACGTCGACGACGGCCATGGACGACGATCACGACAACGTCCTCGGCCACGACGAGGACGTCACCGATCACGTCGACGACGACGACACCGACCACGACGACGACCAAGACGCCGACGACGATCAAGACCACGATGACGATGACGACGACCACCGCGACGACGACCACGACGACTACGATGGCCACCTCGATCGCGACGACCACGACACCGACGACCACGACGACGACGACCACGACTGCAACGACGACGACCGAGACGACAAACACAACCACGACGACGACCACGGCCACGACGACAACGACCACCACGACGACCACGACGAAGACGACGACCCCGACCACGGCGACGACCACGACCACGATTACGCTACCGACGACGACGACGACCACCGAGACGATGACGAACACGACGACCACGACCACGACCACGACCACGACGACGACCGCGGGCCCCAGGCAGCCGCGAGGTTTTGTCGACCCCGCATTCGCCCACGAACGTGGCGACAACTACGCAAATGACAGCGCCCCCAAGGAACCGCGAGGTTTAGTCTGGGTGCGTGTGTGACGCACCCCGCTGATCCCCTCAGGAACGCACGCACGTGGCGACAGTTGCGCAAGTTGCTGCATCCCAATGAGCCGCCAGGTCTTGCCTGGTTGCGCGTAAACGCCACCTTGCTGACCCCCCCCCCAGGATCCCGCGAACGTGGCGACACGTGCGCACCCCAGAAACCGAACTGCGGGGTCTATTTTGGGTGCGCGTATGACGCCATCCTGGTGGACCCCACAAGAGCCCACGACAGTGGTGACGGTTACGCAAATGGCAGCACCCCCAGGGATCTTTGAGGTCTACATTGGGTGCGTGTGTGACGCTTTCCGTTGCGCCTCCCAGGAGCTCAATTGTCGAGGCTTACTTGCTCACATGGCAGCACACCGATGGAACCGCGAGGTTTTGTGTAGCGTCGCATACGACGCCGCTCCGCTGGACCCCACAGGAGTCCACAAACATGGCGGCACATGCGCAGGTGGCAACACCCCCGGGGGGCGACGGGGTCCAGCCTGGAGCCTGGGTGCTCGTATGACGCCGCTCCGCTGGACCTCCCTACGAAAGCGGCGACTCTTGCGCAAGGGGGAAATGAGGGAGAACAGCGGACGCTGGATGAGAGGGGAACAATCACGGGGGCACGATATGAATGCAAATATTTCTTCGTTCCTTGAGGTGACATGTTGAGCTATGCGTTCATTGGTTTGTCGGCTTTGCATTGCGCTCGTGTACTGAAACAACATGGTGTGTTTTACTTCTGTTGAAAGCGTTTTTCGTTCGGTGCGACGCCTTGGGCTGGACGTTATAAACCTGGGGATGGGCGTTTTGAGGGGTAAAACTGGCGTGGGCGCCCAATAGGCCTTGGACAAAAATCAAAGAGGAATAGCTGCAGAAACGCACATGTGACCCCAAAAATAATACGTTTGTCTCGCGCACCGAACTCACAAAACCATTGCACGCGCGGAGGCATCACGAATGCTGTGCCCGCCGTTATTATTGATATCATGAAAACGGTTTCAAAGAATCAAGCGTTTTTCCCCCGAAATTTTGAAGTTGTCGTCTGCAAGTTTGTAGATGGTATGTGTTTCAGATTGTATTTGAGTTTGAATATGTTTGTTCGTGGAAAATGCTTATGCGACAGGTCTGTGATAGGTTAGATTCGAGCAGGCCTTCAAGTTTGACTCACTTACGACGTTGCTCAATTTCGTTTTGGCGGGCGCGCTTGGGAGGAGGAGGGCCCAGGAAGAAGAGAGGGCGGCGACGGGCCCAGAGAAAGCGAGGGAGCGGCGATGGCGACGACGACGACGTCGACGAAGACGAATCAAACGGAACAGCCTCTTCCACACGCCGACAGGTTCGGCGGCTTCTGGTGTGGACGCTGACGCTTCGCCAGCGTCAGTATCCCAGCGCAGCGACGCGTACAGAAATAATGGAACCCGATTGGTTGTCAGCTTGGCCGTCCGGTTAGTTGGCGGGATGGTGGACTGGTTTGCAGTTTGTTGGTTGAATGCTTGGCTTGGGCGGATGAGCTGGCTACTCGGAATTTGGGGTCCGCTGTTGCAGGAAAGGTGGTAGAAGGTGCCAGGCCAGCCCTGGAACCCCGCCAGTTTCGGTGCACCCCTCGCATGGGTCGAGCCCTCCCCCAGAGGGAGCTCCACCTGCGGCCCCAAAGGCAAGGTTCGCACAGTGCCCCCTCCATTTTGGCGCGCTCCTCACACCATCCGCACCCCATGTAGGGCCCTTCCACTGGCCCCAAAGACAGTGGTCGCATAGCGTCCCCCTGCCCATTTCGAGGTTCCCCTCACATCGGTCGCGCCCCGCAAAGAGCTCCACCCCAGGCCCCAGCACACAGGATACTCGCAGTGCGCCCCCCCGCCCGCGTCGGCGTGGCCCTCGCGCGGACCCTGCCCCGCAAGCGAGTTCCACCCAGTGGCGGCGTCGGGCACGCTCCCAGGGCGTCTCGCCGCGCAGCTCGACTCCCCCCTCGAGCGGCTCGTGCCCCCCCCCCCGGGGGGAGCGCCACCGAGCGGCGTCCGTGGGCGCGCGCTCGCCGGGCCCACTTCTCGTGCGGAGGCCCTGCCTCTCCGCAGGGAGAGCTCTCCGCGCGCCTCTTTGCGCGCCTGCCACCTGCAGCCCCCCCCCCCCCCCTTATGTATATATATATATATATACATACACACGCGTATGTATCCGCACTGCCCCGGCGAAGGGAGCAGGACGCGCCGACGTTTCTGTTGACACGCTTGGCGGTGCGACGAGGAAGGTCTGAGCGCATCCGTCCGGTGACAGGGAGCGGGCAGGCCTCCACCACGTCCCGAGAAGCCAGGTTTACGAGAAGCCCCAAGGGAGGCTCCAAGTGGCGTCCGCAGCCATCTCAGATCGAGGGGTCGCCTTGGCTGTACACTCTTTACACAAACTTGTCTCCAAGTACACGCACGGGAGATTGCTCCCTCTATTCGTTCTGCGGCATGGCAGCCTTCAAGGCGCCATGGACCGTGTTTGCGGCGGCGGTCTTTGCCCCCCGCATGCTCACAGCGGTCTCTCTCAAGACGGAGTCCAGCGCCAACACGACGAACACATGGGTGCAGTTGTTAGACAACTTCGAATATTACGGGGAGCGGATGCCCTCATATGCTACACCAATGAACTACGGTTCTTTCACACAGTTAAAAGCTGTGTACCAAAGTGGAAGTGGCATCTATTGTGATACGAGCAGATCGGGTGGCACCGTCTGGCAACAGTGTTGTTGTGGGTACAATTCTTTCGAGGCCATGAAGAGTGGAGGGTACATCGTGTCACAACCCAATTGGCATACGTTGCCTTCCAATTGCTACGCGTCTGGATCGACCGGAACCATCTGCAATATCAATTTCGACATTTCAAGCGGCGATACGATTCTCGCCACGTGGTACGAGCCTTCCCGCTCATCATCGCTCGGTGACAATGGCGGCAGCATCCAGGTGGACTTGTACGGCAATGGGACGGCAGCGGATCCTACCGTTTGTTTCGGGGCGCGTGGCAATTCGTACGGTTCTTTCTACATCAGCACGGCCGTTTCAGTCTCTAACGTGTTGATGACATATTCCAGCGGTAATGTTTATAATTCGGGGGGGCAAGAGGTCACGAAGTGGGGGAATTCAGTTTGGTTCGGTGTGTTCATGACCGACTCGAACAACAACGTAGTGTTTCCCGACTACAGCAACAACGGGAACACCGTTACGAACACGCATGGTGGTGGGTGGTACACAATTGCCAGTGCCAGCTCTCAATCAGATCCCCAATTTACGTGGCAAACGACTACAGCGAAGACGTTGTCGGCCGGAGAGTACCGATTGTGGTATGGTGAGGATCTCCATGGTTTCACAGAGAGTGACAGCGGCGGGACCATGTGCGCTAAAGTTCAGATTAACGGTGGTGCGACGCCCAGCCCGACGCCTTACCCGACGCCCTACCCGACATTTTATCCGACGCCGTACCCGACGGGCTTCCCGACGCCTTTCCCGACGCCCTACCCGACGCCGTACCCGACGGGCTTCCCGACGCCTTTCCCGACGCCCTTCCCGACGCCCTACCCGACGGCCTTCCCGACGCCCACCCAACTCCCTACCCGACGCCCCACCCGACGCACTACCCGACGGCCTTCCCGACGGGCTTCCCGACGCCTTTCCCGACGGCCTTCCCGACGCCCTACCCGACGGCCTTCCCGACGCCCTACCCGACTGCCTTCCCGACGCCCTTCCCGACGCTTTTCCCGACTGCCTTCCCGACGCCATTCCCGACGCCCAGCCCGACGCCCAGCCCGACGTATCCTCCAGGTTGGCCGACGCCACACCCGACGTTCCCTCCTGCAGCTCCAGCTGCGGCCGGAGCTGGCGGAAGCGTGGCTGCCACTGGCGACCCCCACTTTCAAAACGTGCATGGCGAGCGGTTCGATTTGATGAAGCAGGGCAAGCATGTTCTGATAAACATCCCTCGTGGAATGAGCGCTGAAGACTCATTGTTTTATGTGCAAGCCGATGCGCGCCGGTTTGGTGGAAGCTGCGCGGACCTGTATTTCCAAGAAGTGAACGTTACAGGGTTTTGGGCAGAAGCCAAACAAGTTGGAGGGTATCACCACAGCGTATCGCAAAGTGCGGTCGAGGCTCCGCAATGGGTTGCGTTCGGTTTGGTCCAGTTGAAAGTCGCGCATGGACGTGCGGATAGTGGCGTCCGGTATCTGAATGTGTACGTGAAGCGTTTAGGGCTAGCAGGGTTTGTTGTCGGAGGCCTGCTGGGAGAAGACGACAACAAAGACATAATGATTCCTCCAGCAGCTTGCACTAAGTATACGTCTCTATCCGCGGGGGGCGCGATTGGCCAGGCTTCTCCCTCCGTGTCGTCAGTTGCGTTGGCAACTTTCGAGTGATCTTGCGAGGCGCCTTGGAAGGTGCGTACAGTCTGCAGTCAAGATGGTCATGTAAATAGCGTCGGAAGGGGTCGCTGATCCTCATGTCATGCCTGTTCGTTCAGCGCGCCTCGTCCACTCTGGCGCTCTCAGAGCCAACGCGGTCCTTTCATTCTTTCATGCGCCGTTGCTTGCGTCAACTGGGCGTAGGCACTCCAGGCAGTTGCTCCACTGGTGATCCGTGCGAGCAATTTGCTAATTCTGAGAAACTGGACGGTGTCCATCTACACTTGATGCTGAATGTTCATGTGTTGCGTCGGACACTCGGTTGCACTAGGAAACCTGGAGGTTTTTGTTTTCGCGTATGTTCTTTGACGTTCGTCTTCCCCCCACCTCCCACATGCTCTCATATCTATCTACGGGGTCAACGATTATTTGTGTGCGTGAGTGTGAGTGTGAGTGTGAGTGTGTGTGTGTGTGTGTGCGAGTTTGTGTGTGTGTGTGCGAGTGTGTGTGTGTGTATGCGTGTGCGTGTGCGTGACCGTGACCGTGTGCGCGTGCGCGTGCGCGTGCGCGTGCGCGTGCGCGCGCGCGTGCGCGTGCGGGTGCGGGTGCGGGTGCGTGTGCGTGTGCGTGTGCGTGTGTGTGTGTGTGAATGTGTGTGTGTGAATGTGTGTGTGTGTGTGGGTGTGTGCGTGTGTGTGTGAGTGTGAGTGTGAGTGTGTGTGTGTGGTGTGTGGTGTGTGGTGTGTGGTGTGTGGTGTGTGGTGTGTGGTGTGTGGTGTGTGGGTGCGTGTGCACGGCGGCGCACCCGCAGGCGCTCACGAAGACCCAGCGGCCCAGGGGGGCGAACATGTTTAGTCCAGGGCCAGGAGTCCTCGGCCACGTGCAAGTGGTGCGGGGCAGGTCTCGGCCCAGGCCCAGAAGGGCGCCTGAACGGGGGACGCCCATCTGCTGAACGCGCAGGAGAGAATTGTGTGCCTCGTGGGCAGAGGGTGAGGCAAGACTGGGGTTGCACCGTGGGGTGGCAGAGAAAATGGCGCGGTGCAAGGGGCCCATCGGCAATATCTTTGTGTGGTTGTGCGTTTGTGTGTTTGTGTGCGGTTGTGTTGTTGTGTGGTTGTGTGTATGTGCTTGTGTTGGGGGGATGTGGGGTTGTGTGGGGTTGTGTGGTTGTTGTCTATGTTTGTGTGGCTGAGTGGTTGTGTGCCTGTGTGCTGGTGTGCTCCCGCCACCATCCCAGACGGGAGGCTGGGGCAGAGGCGGTGGGCGCTGTGCTTGTGGGGCGCCGTCGCGCCCAGGCGGGCCGGCACGGTGCCGGGGTGGGCCGCTCAGCGGGTCTGGGTTGGGCACGCATGCAACGACGACGATGGATGGGCAGGGCGGCGGAGGATTGTTGCAGGAGGAGTAGGAGGAGCAGGGGGAGGAGGAGGAGGAGGAGGAGGAGGAGTATTTAGGAGGGGAGGAGACGGATGAGAGAGGAGGGGAGGCTGAAGAGGATGAGAAGGATGAGAAAAAGGAGGAGGAGGAGGAGGGCGAGGACGAAACGGAGGCGGAGGAAGACGAGGACGGTCAGTAGGTGGTGAAGAAGCAGCAGAAGGCTGGGCCGTCCGTCGGCTCTCCCGAACGCAGCAGGAGAGGGTCCACAAGCAGGCCCAGCACTTCGAGTCCTTCGCAGCGCAGGCCGGGCCCACGTGGAAGGCAGGGGGAGAGGGAAGAAAGGATGGAGAGAGGTTGAGGACGAGGAGGAGGAGGACGAGGAGGAGGAGAAGGAGGTGGAGGAGGAGGAGGAGGTGGAGGAGGAGGAGGTGAAGGAGGAGCAGGAGGACGTGGAGGGGGAGTGTGAGGGGAAGGAGGCGGGCGAGGAGGAGGAGGAGCAGAGAGGGAAAGTAGGAGGGAGGACTACGTGGAAGAGGATCATGATGAGTAGCAGGAGGCGGCGTAAGAGGAGTCCCGCTAGTTGTGCCCTCTGTTGGCGAGGGTGAGGGAGGATGGGATGTAGCGAGGCGGGGACGTGATGGGGGGCAGTGAATAGCAGCAGCAGCAGCAGAGGCATCGGGAGGAGGAGCTGCGGAGCAGGAGCAGAGTCAGGAGAGAGGGGTAGCGTATGAGGCGGAGGGGGATGGAGGGGTAAGATGAGGCGGGGGAGAACAAAGAGAAACGGTGGAGACCCGGAGGAGGACGAGCAGGAATAGGACGAGGAAGGAGGAACAGGACAGAAAGAGAGAGGTGATGCAGAACGACACCGAGATCATTGCCTACGCCGCGAAAGTGAAGGGGCTGGCTTCGGAGCACGAGAAGCTGAAGAATAGGTTTGCCGCCGACGCTCTGCGCCCCACGCCTCCCTCTCCACTGCACCCTGCAACCGCTTCCACCCCTACCCCATCCACTCTCAAATACCCCACCCTCACTCCTCCCCTTCTCCCCTACTCTCCCAACTCAACCATTCCCCTGTTGCTCCACTCTCACGTTTGCCACCTTCCCTTTATTCTTGTTTGATTGGTCACCCCTCTCCGCCCCGCCTCGCAGCCTTTGCCCCCGTCCCTCTCCTCCATTTGCCCATGCATCCACCACGATCCTCGACACTTCACTATCACTCCTCGTTCTGTTTCTCCCTCGCACTCCCCTCATGCCCTGCCCCGCCCCTCCACGACTCGCCTTGCCGCCCTCCCGCTCCGCGCCTCCGCCCTGCGAGGAGGCAGAGTGCTGGACCCAACTGATCCGATGTTCCCCTCAGCTGGTCCTTCGATCAGAGCTTCGGCTGGGTAGTCGAAGGCCAGACTGTCAGATTGGATTGGGCCCCAAGGGCCAATCTGGCCCGGCCAAACCGGATGATTTGGGTTATTCGCCAGACTGGATTCGCGTGGGCTCCCTCGCCAGATTGCCCCCTTTTGCCAGATTGGGCCTGCCAGATTGGTTTCGACTACCCAGTAAGGGCAGCTGGAAGAGGGGGCGGGCGGAGGAGGGGGGGGCGGGGCAGGCGGGGCGGGATGGGTGGCAGACGGTGTTCGGCCTCGGCTGCGTAGTGCCCCAGCGGAGGAGGAGGAGGAGGAGGAGGAGGAGGAGGAGGAGGGGGAGGAGGGGGAGGAGGAGGAGTGGGAGGAGGAGGAGGCGGAGGAGAAGGAGGGGCCGGGAGGGAGGAGGAGGAGGAGGAGGAGGAGGAGGAGGAGAGGACAAGCTAGGTGCGCTGGCGTCATGTCTGACGTCGAACCCTTGCCTCCCATCCCTTACCATGGTTTAGATCTCCTCGCTATTCGCACAACCAGATGTCGAGCAGAGCCATGATCCCGAGAGAGTGCGCGATGAATCGTAGAGCACGGCGTAGCAGGGCGTAGAAGAGCACATCGCACAGCATTGCAACGCAAATAATAGCATCGCACAGCGGCACATAACACAACATAACATAGCATGGCGTTAGAGATCAACACGTAGCATGGCATAGCATTGCGTGGCACTGCGTTGTCAAGTTTTGCATATCCTAGCATTGCAGCTGAAGGCATGGCATCACACAGCGGAACACCACATAGCATTGCATAGCATTGCATGCCGTGGCATGGAACTGGAAATGATGAGGCCAGCGCTGCAGCGGGAGCACGATTCGGAACGAGCGAAATCGCGGAAATGAGGCCAACGTTGCAGCGGGAGCACGATTCGGAACGAGCGGAAGCCGGAAATGAGGCCAGCGCTGCAGCGGGAGCACGATTCGGTACGAGCGGAAGGCTGAACATGAGGCCAGCGCTTCAGCGGGAGCAGCATTTTGAAAAACACTCAAGCGAACACCCAATTCCCAGGAAAATTGTGTGCATACAAAACAGTACGCGGAGGGGGGCCGAACGTCTTCCGGACGTCATCAGGGGAGAGAAGAGAGTAGTGTTCACATTGTGTGAGGTGGGGGTAGGAGGAGGAGGAGGAGGAGGAGGAGGAGGAGGAAGAGAAGGAGGAGGAGGAGGAGGGGAAAAGGGACGGATGAAGGGGGAGGAGGGGAGAGGAGGAGAGGGAGAGGATGAGGAGGAGGGGAGGGGAGAGAGGAGGAGGAGGAGGGGGATGGAAGTGGCCGAGGAGGGGAGAGGAGGGATGAGGGGGAGGAGGAGGAGGAGGAGGAGGAGGAGGAGGAGGAGGAGGAGGAGTGCCCCCCAGGGGAGAGGAGGAGGAGATGGGGGAGGAGGAGGAGTAGGAGGAGAAACAGCAGAAGCATGATCAACATGATCAACATGATGAAGATGAGGATACCCCCGCAAGAGAGATCAGACAAATGCGACTGTCCGGTGACGGAACAGGCCCCTCCTCCCGCCCTGCCAGGCAAGAGCGCGTGGACACGTCCATCCAGCAGATCTGGGAGCAGCAAGACGCGCTTGGTCGTCTGCTGGTCGTGGGGGGGGGAGGGGGGCGAAGCGGAAGATGAGGAGGGATGATAGGGGGATATTGAGGCTGAGTGGTGAAGACAGAGAGAGAGAGATACAGAGAGAGAGAGAGAGAGAGAGACAGAGAGAGAGATGAGCGATGCAGCTACACATGATATGTACATCTATATATATATATATATGTATATATGTACATACACACAAATGTAGAGAGCGCGAGAGAGATGCACAATTCTATACAGAGAAAGAGAGAGAGAGAGAGAGAGAGAGAGAGAAAGAGAGAGAGGACGAGTGTGAGAGAGAGAGAGATAAAGAGACAGAGGGAAGGAATACGAGGAGCAGGAGAGGGGGGAGGGCAGGGAGGACCATGAGGATGGGGCAGGAGGAGGAGGAGCAGCAGAATGAGGAGAACGATGATGACCAAGAAGTGTCGCCTGGAGGCTGGAGGCGGAGGAGCAGGAGGAGGAGGAGGAGGTGAACCAAGAGGAGTAGGGGGGAGAATGAGGATGGGTTGAAGGAACGGGGAGGAGGTAAGCGGGAAGGGGGTGGACGGGGAGAAAGAGGATCGGGAGCAAGGGCCAGGAGCGAGAAGGTTAGGATTGGGAGGGCTGATGATGAGTCGGGAGCAGGGAGGACGGACGAGAATGAAGAAGGGACGAGAGAGCAGTAGGAGAAGTCAGAGCCCATCGTTTGGGGGCAGCCCGTTGTCTTGCTGCTGTGCGTGGTGGTGGCGCGTGCGCTGCAAGGGGGCCTGCGTGTGGCGCGTGTGCGCCTGCTTCGCCTCTGGCCTGCCCGCGGTCCCTTCTGGTATGCGTGTTGGCATGTCCAAGGGCTCCCTCGAGGGCGCGAAGTTATTCGCGCTTCGCGCTTCGCGGTCCTCGTTCCTTCTCCCCCTCCTCCCTCCTCCTCCTCGTCCTCCTTTTCTCCCTTTGGGGGGGCGGCGCGAGAGCGCGAAGTTATTCGCGCTTCGCGGAGCGCGAAGCGCGAAGTTGGGAGCCCTAGCATGTCTGCCTGTGCGTGCGCGTGTCCGTGGTAGGAAGTGGGCGCGTGCGCGCGAGTGCCGTCTCGGGGGTGTGCTCGAGGGATCGTGCCCTCAGGCAGGTGCGCGTTCCTGAACACAGATGCGGCGACACTGCAGGCACGGCATCCACGGGGGATCGTACACTTGTCGCCAAGCTGCGCGACCAGCTCCACCCCCCGTAGGACAAGGCACGTGCAGGGACAGAGGCGACTGCTCCACTGCCAGACCGCCTACCGTGAGAACCCATGCTCAGGAACACCCTGCTTTCCTGCAGGGTGCCGTGGGTCTCAGTGGGCCCTGTAAGCGACATAGCCGTTTTTATTTCCGGTTCCGTTTTGCCATTTGTTTATTGGTTCCGACGTTTTTTCCCTTACCATTTTGTGGTGTTGGGTCCGCGTTTTGAAGAGACGGTCCCCGCGGTTCTCCCGCATCCTTATTCATTCCTCCTCCTCCCTCCTCCCCCTCCTCCCCCTCCTCCCTGCATTTCATCCACCCAGTACAGCGTTTCGTGCCCCTATAGGGAACTCCATCGAAGGTCCCAGTGGGACCGCCTGCATGCGCCAACCACCACCCAGCACAGCCCTTCCTCAATGCGTTTCACCCAGCCATTACAGCGATTCGTGGACCCATAGGGAGCCCCACCGAAGGTCCCAGTGGGACCGCCTGCATGCGCCAACCACCACCCAGCACAGCCCTTTTCTCCCTGCGTTTCACACAGCCAGTACAGCGCTTCGTGGCCCCACAGGGAGCTTCACCGAAGGTCTCAGTGGGACCGCCTGCATGCGCCAACCACCACCCAGCACGGCCCTTTCTTCCTGCGTTTCACCCACACAGTACAGCGCTTCGTGGCCCCATGGGGAGCTTCACCGAAGGTCTCAGTGGGACCGCCCGCATGCGCCAACCACCACGCAGCACAGCAATTCCTCCATGCGTTTTGCCCACCCAATACAACGCTTCGTGGCCCCATAGGGAGCTTTACCGAAGGTCCCAGTGGGTCGCCCGCATGCGTCAACCACCACCCAGCACAGTCCTTCTCCTTGGGTTTCACCCACCAAGTACAGTGTTCCGTGGGCCCGTAGGGAGCTCCACTGAAGGTCCCAGTGGGGCCGCCCGCACGCGTCAACCACCACCCAGCACAGCCCCTCCAACCTTCGTTTTACCCACCCAGTACAACGCGTCGTGGCTCCATAGGAAATTTCACCGATGTTCCCAGTGGGACCGCCCGCGCGCGTCAACCACCACCCAGCACAGCCCTGCCTCCTCGTGTTTCACCCACCCAGTACAGCGCTTCGTGGCCCCACAGGGAGCTCCACCGAAGGTCCCAGAGGGACCGCCCGCGTGCGTCAGCCACCACCCAGCACAGCGCTTCGTGGCCCCATGGGGGGGTTCCTTCGAAGGCCCCAGTGGCACCGCCCGCATGCGTCAGCCACCACCCAGTATAGCGCTTCGTGGCCCCATAGGGAGCTTCACCGAAGGTCCCAGTGGGACCGCCCGCGTACGTCAGCCACCACCCAGCACAGTGCTTCGTGGCCCCATGGGTCACCACCTACCAAACCACCCCAACCCAACCCGAAGGCCCCAATTTGCCCTCCATTTCCAGTGGGGGGGGGTCGGGGAACATCGAAAAAACACATGTGGAGCCCATACCCCCCCCAACCCGAAATTCCGGTCTTCGGGTTGGGTTGGGGTGGTCTGGTAGGTAGTCAATGGGGAGCTCCACCGATGGTCTCATTGAGGCCGCCTGCGTGCGTCAGCCACCACCCAGTACAGAGTTCCGTGGCTTTGCAGGGACCTTTTTCAAAACAAATGCATTGTGACGTACCCAACAATTTTTATACATGTGGCAATTATACTCAGGACCATCCAATGCTGACCGGCATCATGAAGGGCCCGCAGTGCGCAGAAAGAGCACCCAACAATGTTTTCAGAAGAGCGCAGCAAGAAGTCCCGTGGTGATCCGCGTACGACGCACCTCCGCTGGGCCTCCCAGGAGCCCGCGAAAATTGCGACAATTGCGCAGATCGCAGCCCCCCACGGGCGGCGAGGTCCCGTGGTGATCCGCGTATGACGCACCTTCGTTGGGCCTCCCAGGAGCCCACGAAAGTGGCGACAGATGCGCAGATCGCACCCCCCCACGGGCGGCGAGGTCCCGTGGTGATCCGCGTGGGACCCACCTCCGCTGAGCCTCCCAGAAGACACGAAAGTGGCGACCGTTGCGCAAATCGCAAGCCCCCCAGGGGCGGCGAGGTATCGAGGTGATCCGCGTATGACGTACCTCCGTTGGGCCTCACAGGGGCCCACGAAAGTGGCGACAATTGCGCAGATCCGTGGTGATCCGCGTATGACGCATCTCCGTTGGGCCTACCAGGCGCCCACGAAAGTGGCGACAGTTGGGCAAATCGCAGGCCCCCAGGGGCGGCGAGGTCCCGTTGTGATCCGCGTATGACGTACCTCCGCTGAGCCTCCCACGAGCCCACGACAGTAGCGACAGCTGCGCAGATCGCAAGCCCCCCAGGGGGCGGCGAGGTCCCGTGGTCATCCGCGTATGACGTACCTCCGCTGGGCCTCCCAGGAGCCCACGAAATTGGCGACCGTTGCGCAGATCGCAAGCCCCCCAGGGGGCGGCGAGGTACCGAGGTACGTCCGCGTGGGACCCACCTCCGCTGGGCCTCCCAGGAGCCCACGAAAGTGGCGACAGTTGCGCAGATCGCACGCCCCCCAAAGAGGCGGCGAGGTACCGAGGTGATCCGCGTGGGACCCACCTCCGCTGGGCCTCCCAGGAGCCAACGAAAGTGGCGACAGTTGCGCAGATCGCTAGCCGCCCAGGGGGCGGCGAGGTACCGAGATGATCCGCGTGGGACCAACCTCCACTGGGCATCCCAGGAACCCACGAAAGTGGCGACAGACAGTTGCCCAGATCGCAGGCCTCCCAGGGGGCGGTGAGGTACCGAGGTGATCCGCGTATGACGTACCTCCGCTGAGCCTCCCACGAGCCCACGACAGTAGCGACAGCTGCGCAGATCGCAGGCCCCCCAGGGGGCGGCGAGGTACCGAGGTGATCCGCGTGGGACCTACCTCCGTTGGGCCTCACGGGAGCCCACGAAATTGGCGACCGTTGCGCAGATCGCAAGCCCCCCATGGGGGCGGCGAGGTCCCGTGGTGATCCGCATGGGACCCACCTCCGCTGGGCCTCCCAGGAACCCACGAAAGTGGCAACAGTTGCGATCACAAGCCCCCCAGGGGGCGGCGAGGTACCGAGATGATCCGCGTGGGACCCACCTCTGCTGGGCCTCCCAGGAGCCCATGGAAGTGGCGACAGTTGCGCAGATCGCAGGCCCCCTAAAGAGGCGGCGAGGTACCGAGGTGATCCGCGTGGGACCCACCTCCGCTGGGCCTCCCAGGAGCCCACGAAAGTGGCGACAGTTGCGCAGATCGCAGGCCCCCCGAATGGGCGGCGATGTACCGAGGTGATCCGCATGGGACCCACCTCCGCTGGGCCTCCCAGGAACCCACGAAAGTGGCGACAATTGCGCAGATCGCAGGCCGCCCAGGAGGCGGCGAGGTACCGAGGTGATCCGCGTGGGACCAACCTCCACTGGGCATCCCAGGAACCCACGAAAGTGGCGACAGACAGTTGCCCAGATCGCAGGCCTCCCAGGGGGCGGCGAGGTACCGAGGTGATCCGCGTGGGACCCACCTCCGCTGGGCATCCCAGGAGCCCACGAAAGTGGCGACAGTTGCGCAGATCGCAGGCCCCCCAGGGGGCGGCGAGGTACCGAGGTGATCCGCGTGGGACCCACCTCCGCTGGGCCTCCCAGGAGTCCACGAAAGTGGCGACAGTTTCGCAGATCGCAGCCCGTCGGCACGAGGGAAGAGGAGAGGGGAGCACCGGAAACAGGAGAGAAGGAGGAGGGGAGGAGAGAGGAGGAGAAGGAAGGCAGGAAGGACGGGGCGACAACACTGCTTTTTTCAAAACGAGTACCC